CTTTCTAGCTCGCTCTCGCTCTGCGTGTCTCTCCGTCTTCGTCTCCGTCTCTCTGGCTGAGCGGAGCCGATAGAACGGTATGAATGAGAGGGAGGGAGCGCGCAGACTCGCGTGCCCTCGCGAATCGGATGAGCGCGCGAGGATGTCGGGACAGCTAAGGGAGCCGCCTCGAGTACGAGAACGAGGACGAGGACGAGGACGTGAACTTGGACGTGGACGTGGACGTGGACGTGGACGCGGACGTGGTTGTCGAGGAGGGCGGCATCGATGATATCGCTAAAGCATAACGGCGAGGCAGCCTTGCTCGGGTTCCGTGCAAATGCGCTGATAGCGACGACGACGACGGTGGGGGCGGCTCGGAGAATAGTAGTAGTCGTTGCAGTTGTAGTTGTAGTTGTAGTTGTAGTTGTAGTTGTAGTTGTAGTTGTAGTTGAGGTTATAGTTGTAGTTGTAGTTGTAGCTGTGGTTGTAGTTGTAGTTGTTATTGTAGTTGTAGTTGTAGTCGTTGTAGTTGTAGTAATAGCTGCCGTTGGTAGTGGTGGTGCTGCTGTTGCTGTTGCTGTTGCTGTTGCTGTTACTGTTACTATTGCTATCGCCGTTGCTGTTGCTATTATTGCTGTCGCTGTTGCTGTTGCTGTTGTTGTTGCTGCTGTTGTTGACAATGATACTGTTGCTGTTGGTGTTACTGCTGCTGCTGCCGCTGCTGCCGGGGGCGACGTTCGGCGGGAGATTCATGCGCCCCAGGATGCAATACACCAAGTGTGCAGCGCGTCAACTGGCGCCCGGCTGATTTGGCCCTGCTCGCGGGTCTCGTGACACTCTCGTGGTCGGCACTCCTGGCCTCTCCGAGTCGTTCAGGGGCTGCTGTGTCGTTGACGGCGCTGGCGGTGACGGTGGCGGTGGCGATGACGACGGTCGCAGCTCGAGGGACCGCTGGTGGACGTGTTCTCCTCTTTCTCTCTCTTTTTCGCTCGTTCGTTCGCTCGCTCACTTGCTCGTTTCTTGGCCGTGAGGCCGTAAGGCAGAGAAGACACGGCGCGTACGACGAGGAGAAGGAAAGAGACGTCGCGGTGCTCGCTATTCTACGATCTCTTCCTTTTTCTGTCTCAACAAGGGGGATTGGCTAGCGGATGATCCGATGGAATCTTGCTTCCTCGTCGGCTCTAGGTGCTGCTGGTATTCTCGGCCACGCTCTCTTGTGTTAGCCCTTGCCGCGTTTCTTACGAGCGTCGAATCCCTCTATCTCCCTTGTTTCCTTGCTCCCTTACACTCTAGATCTCTTGTCTTGCGTTCTTTCTCTCTCTCTCTCTCTCTATCTATCTAACTATCTCTCTCGCGTTCCCACGTCCAGCAGACGCACACTATCAAGATCCTTCCTTTTTTCTACGTGTGTGAAACACTGGTACCCCCCATCACACTCGTGTATTTTCGTTCTTTCACAACCACTTTTCTATCGAGTTTGGTTAGCTTCGTAGTCTTGGGCTGTATATTATCGTCATTATCCGCAAGAGTCCGCGCAAGTCGCACGAATCCTGCTGCCGTTGTCGATGTCCTTGTTGACTTATTGTGATCTTCGAAAATACACGACCGCACGTATCGCTTACTTCGGTCGTCATTTCGTGTTGTAACGTATATTATCTGTCTATCTATTACATATTTATCTGCGTATTTATTTATTGTTTCATTATTATTATTAAATTTTTTTTTTTTTTTTTTTTTTTTTTTTTTTTTTTTTGAACGTAACAAATTAGAAGCAGGTGTCGTCGTAGCGGTTTTTTTTTTTTCTTTATTTCTTTTGTAAACGAAGGCGGCTACATTTGCGTGGCGACGATCGGAGGGAAACACAACCAAGGCAGAGTACTTAAGGCTTTATGTAGCATTTGAGCGATAAAGATTAATAAGGATAGCAAATTCACGTTTCAAAGTTCATTGTTATCCGTTAATTTATTCGAGAGAAATGCGTTTTGAGGCATAACTTTTTCATTCGATTGCAATTCCAAGTATAGCATCGCGACAAGGCTGAAGCAGGGACATTGTTTTTATATTATGTTTAACGATGTCTTGCAAATTTATGTATTTGTTTCTTGTACATTGTATATGAATTTCATTTAAAAAAAAAAAAAAAAAAAAAAAAAAGAAAAGCTTGCCTTTAAAAGCTGTATTCGATATTGGATTGAATTAATTAGTGCCTCGGTGCCATTAAATTACACTTCACCAATATTGGTTTCTTAGTAAATATTTAATGAAGTTATTTCAAATAGAATATCATAAAATCTTAAGCTTCTTTACCACTTACTAACTGTGATCGCCGGTCACGTGGAAGTAGAACGGTGGAAGACTTTGTAGTTGGTGGTTCACTGCGTCTGCGCTGCTTAATGTGGAATAAGTGTCCTAATAATAACCTAAAAATTATAAATAAGTGATGGTAGTGATGTGAAACTTGTTTCTTTTTAATAGAGATAATTTTAGAAAATATGAATTTAAGAACACCATTTCATTTTTTATTTTCCAAATATTATAATCTCCTTGAAATACGTAGTTTTAATATTAGTTGTGTTTATTCTAATAAGGCAAATACTACCGCTCAAGATGATCGGACAACACATTTTGGATTTAAAACAATTAAACAATCCGAAAAAACGAAGGAAGGTACGTAATTATTGCGATAAATTGGATCGTTCCAATTGAACAAATGTATCGACGCTGCAATTTAGAGATGATAATAAATAATTTGATAAAATTCTGTTAATCAATTTGAAGACATTTTTTTTTGTTTTTTTTTTCTAGTGTATTCGGTATTTGAAAATGTCGCTAATTCCTATGATGCGATGAACGATGCTATGAGTTTTGGGATACATCGGATATGGAAGGATATATTTATTGAGAAACTCGATCCCGAACAAGACTGCAGGCTACTGGATTGTGCCGGGGGAACCGGTGACATAGCCTTCCGTTATCTAAAACATTTCGAAAAACCACATGTCGTTAATAGTCTAAAAAGTCACGTAACTGTTCTTGATATCAATGCAAATATGCTGGATGTGGGACAGGTCAGAGCTAAAAAACAAGGTTTTACGGTAGAAAATGGTTACGATATTTCATGGGTACAGGGTAATGCAGAAAACCTTCCTTGTGATAATGAATCTTATACAGCTTATACGATTGCATTTGGAATTAGAAATGTCACGGATATCGATAAGGTACAAATTTTATATACTTATTTAGAATTGCACTTCAAATAAATAATGTATTTATTAGTAATTTGTTTAATTTAAGGCCTTATCGGAAGCTTATCGAATTTTAAAACCCGGCGGAAGATTTCTGTGTTTGGAGTTCAGTCATGTAGATAATTTCTTATTAAGATGGTTTGTTAAACTATAATTAATTATATTACCAACGAGTAATAGAACTGTAATAGTGTGAAATAGTCATTTAGTGAATAGTTCATTTATGAAAAAGATTAAAGTATCGTGAGAGAATTTGAAAAACAAATGGAAACTAATGGTCATAAAATATCAAAATGAATAGGGTTTGACATTGCATTAAATAATATTTACAAATTATATGCAAAATATTGAGTTGCATTATAGTAAATAGTCTAGCGATGTATTAAATATTGTTTATTTGCTAATGTTTGTGCTTCTTTCTAGGGTTTACGATCAGTACTCTTTTCAAATTATTCCTGTATTAGGAACACTCATTGCTGGTCAATGGCAACCTTATCAATACCTTGTTGAAAGTATTAGACGCTTTCCTAAGCAAGAGAAATTCAGGGTATGTTGTAATACATTCTGTACGGGCTATGAATTAAAGTCAAACTTATCGTTGCTAGGTTAATGTACTCCAATAAATCTGTTATAAATCATACATTATGAATCTTTCAATCTATTTGTATTCTATTTAGGAGATGATTCTCAATGCTGGATTTAAGCAAGTCACATACGAAAATTTGACTTTTGGAACAGTTGCCATACATAAAGGATACAAAATCTAACGTTTCCATTTCATAATTAGAGTGTTTTACAAGGATTACGTATGCTTCATAAACTTATCCACGACGTATTTATATATATATATATATATATAGAATCCTTTTTATTTATTTATATAAATGTTATAAAATTCCAAAAAAAAAAAAAAATTTGTTTAATAATTCTTATTTTTTATTCTCATTGTAAGAATAGCTTATTAGCTAATCGACGAATTTATGAAAAATATTTTGTTACTATTGTTACTGATGAACAATGTATAATCTATCAAAATTAAAAAGACTGTGTAAATAACATATATCTATAATCGATGAGGCATGCTATACATATTTATATCATTTAAATCCTAACAAAGATAGGATCTTTGGCTGTAAGTGTGTACATACCTTAAAAGAAATATATTGCTACAATAATGTATAAAAATTTTTGGGAAACCCAAATTTTTGAATATTTTTTATCAATCAAATGAATAAACGAATTGTCTGTTTACAAATATTTTATGTGCGGTGTTTCATGTCTGTATAAAAAAATAAAATTGTATACATGGCGAAAATTTATTTCGCTTGGACGGAATTCAATTATTCGGGCTCATCATTGGTGATTTTTTACGTAAATGGGATCAATTTTACTTTTTAACACAACAATTCTAATAATCGTTCAATTTTATTAAATATTATAAATGCACACAACCGATGAGCCCAATAACTCTTAACAAACACTATTAAAGTAACTTACAATTCTATTATTGGATGGAATTATTTTTTTTAGTCTCTATGTAAAAACAATCGATTATTATAAATACGTCTTATTTCATATTACTTAATTTATTGAATGTTTATGATTAAATTTTTAAATAGTAATGCTTAATTAGGAGGCTTTACATGTTTTTATATTCAATGCAAAATATCGTATATCATTAATTTTCCTTAACGAGAAAATTAATTTAGTTAATTGCAAAGTACGCCTTCAATTTCAATTAATTTTACGCGTACAACAAAAATTACAAGTAAAATTATTTTTGTACTAAACAATTGAAGTACAAATAAATGTATTTTAATTTTCCATATCCAATTGTCAATCGTATAGAATCGAATTTTCGTGCTTAAAGTTTATTCAATATTATAAAAATAATTATTAAGGCAATGAATGAGATTCTTTTCTTATGAATTACAATTATAGCGAAAATTATTAGAGGAACTGCTAGTTCTCCAAATCATAATAGGACGGAATAATTATTAGATTTGTTAGAAATTTTCGGCATATTCAATGAATATAGCGTTAAAGTTATTCTTGTATGCTATTAAAATCTTATAACTTTTGTACTTGACACTATTGCCAAAATTTATGCAAATGCTTTTAAAAAATTTTTTTTTTTTTTTTTTTTTTTTATAGCTTCTAATTTTCGTGTCATTAATGCAATTATAAATTTGATGTTTTTTTTTGTTTTTTTTTTTGTGTATTTTTGTTTTTTTAAACATATTTATCAGTAAATTAAGGCGCTTTTTAACACAAACGTTACGAGATTGTGCAAACTTACTCAATAATATAATCTACTAATAATAATACTAATTATAAAATCTTTTAGAATTAAAATCGGTAAATACCGTTTGTTTTCATTTATTTTCTTTTTTACTTTTTGGCAAAGAAATGCATGAAAAATATTCATGCATTTTTTTGCATGGAAGAAATCTCTCTCTCTCTCTCTCTCTCTCTCTATATATATATATATATATATATATATATATATATATATATATCTTTTAAAAATATTTTTTCTATTAAATTTGTACGCGCTACGATTATTTGTTTGAAGGTATTTTAAATGTTTATACATTGATTAAATCGTTGTAAATAAACTTTCGAACGTTAATGTAAATCATTAACACTTGGCCCTCAATATTTGTATTTAATTTACTATGGTGTAATATGATTTTTTTTTTTTTGTTTAACAAACAAGAACATTTTTCTTTTTAAAAACATTGTCTCAAGTTCGATTATAAAGACTTTCGGATCTTATTAAAAAATTCGATTTGCTTAAAAAGATTTCTTCACAATGCCGATGCACTAATAAGCAGTTTCTCTTCGGGTTGTGTAAAATGACGATTAAACTTTTTCAAAAAACAAAATCAATGAGCCACAATTAATTTTTGTTATTGTTGTTTGTGAGCTACTTTTTTCAGTATTACTTTTACAAGTAAAGTTAGTGATATTATTTATTCACTATATATTTGGACGGAAAATTGAAGCGTCACATATTTTCCATTTGCTCCGACGCAATTTGAATGTAAAAAGGTAACACCAGATAAAAAGGTTCACCTCCTTATCTCCTGTAGCACTGCAGTAGTCCTAGCCGAATTCTAAATCTTGTATTCGAAAATTTCGTATGACGCTGACTAGGACTAATAAAGTGACGATGAAGTATCCAGGCGAAGCTAAAAACCTTGCCGCATTGTAAATTGGACAATATGGGCATTGAGAACTTCCGCACACCTCGCAGATGTTCAAAATGTAAGTCGGCAACGAATCGAACATCGTCTCATTGAAACGTTCTGAAACGATATTATCCTGATTATTAAATATCATTCATTAGCTGAATAATTGAAGAGAAATTATTTTAAAATTAATTGGTTCGCTACTTATTAGAAAATTACAACGAATTTGTAACATAATTCATTTTGTTGTTGGAATAATTAATAAATTGAGTATAATAATTGAGAATAATAATATTTATTTATAAACGTTATTATAAGCGATTATTATTATAATACTCGTGTAAAGTGCATTTGTAATCGACGACTAATGAAAATATTAGCACACATTTTGCTTTCGCGGATATTTTAAAAGTATAATCTCGGTAGTGTTTCTTTATCAATCCATTTCATTTCAAATATTATAATCTTAATAGTGATCAACAGTGACTTGTATTAATATCAAAATTTATTGGTCCCAATTGTCCATTGGGACAGACTTTCTAATGATCTTCCCATACTTTTAATATCATTTAACAGTGATAACATTCGTATTATATGACAATGTGTGGCCTAAAACTTTTCTAATGCAACCTAAGAAAACTATATAAATTCCCGGCTTAGCAAATACGTAAGGAAATGTACACGTTGAACGGTTACTCGATTATTGCTATCGATTATTATTTTACAAGTCGTTTGGCCACTCGTAGTGTAAGACAAATTATCATTTGTTTAATTCTAAATTCCAAGATCAACGGCGAACGAATCTGCACTTTGTGTACATGTAACAAGCGATAAAAAAAAAAAAAAAAAAAAAAAAAAAAACAACAACAACAACAACAACAACAACAACAACAACAACAAAACAAAAGAAATCCTAAAAATATCTCACCTGGTGCGTAATAGTCATAAACCCTAATGGGAAGATATCTCGACATATTAGCAACTGGATACCAGCGCTCGATGGTAAAGTTAACGCAGGTTTCCTCCTGATCGAGATAGTCGAAGTAGAAAAGCACTTTGGAAGGCTGGAATCGGGCTCTCTGAAGATTTCTCACTTGCTTAGATCGTACATAACGATCGAGATTTTGCTGCTGAATTATGTAGCCTGTTGGAATAGTCACGTCCAGCACTGCCATTCCCGATCGTTCCGATTCATTCACGTGCATCCATCTAAATCGTATCGAATGTAATATTAGAAATGTGTTTCATCGGCCATTGAGGCACGACCGTGACAATGGAAGCTATAAACCTAAGCTTCGCGTATTACACGGTCGCTTAGAGTACTGAAGAGGGAAGCTGAGATAATGAATTATTGATCCGAGCAAGGGTAGAACGACGTTACCTTTGACAACTGAGATACGTTATATGAGACTGATTTCTTCCATGGAAATTGGCATGCGTGATCAGGTCAAAAGCTGGAACTGGTGGCTTTGTTTGGAATCGCTTTATATCCACGTTGTACTGCACATGCATTTGCAAAATCGCATATCCCGCGCCCTTGGCTTGAACTTTCACCGTTCCCCATGCTTCAGGAATCTATAAATTCGTATTTCATAGAATGTCTAAGCTTAGGAAAAATACCTTCGATTGTTGCGCAATGCGCTGGGAAGAAAGAGCTCGAGAAGACTCATGATGAGCAAAGAAAAAATTGAATGAAAAAGTCAACGTTTTTAACGTCTAACTTAATATTTGACATGAAATTTCTGCTTTATAATAATGTTGGAGTTCGTTGACAATATGATGGCAGCGAAAGCGAGTAAGTAATTTATAAGCATGGAAATACGCAAATCCCTTTAATTTTATCAGAGTACATATGCTTCGATAAAAGTATTTCAAATATTTAAAACGAGCCAAATTATTAATTGATTATTAATCTATTTATTTCTTTACATATTAATAATAACAATATTCTATCGTTAAATCTTTTTTTCTTCGTCATTTCATATTTTTATTATTATTAATTATTAATTTATTTTTTATTTTTATAAATTAAAATAACATTGATATTAGGAGGTTATTCAGTTAAGCGATTAAGAGTATTAAGAGTATGATCTTATATTACATGAGAATCGGCTTGTTTTTGTCGTTTTTCAATAACGAGGCGACATCGCGACATCGACGTATTTTTAAGTCGCGATACATTAAAAACGAAGGGCTAAACGGAGCCAAGAGATGGTCAATGATGATGATGGATAAATGTACCTGAAGGATCTGCAATTTGGCGAGATTTTTGTTGTTCACGTGCAGAGTGTTGGTCTGGCCGGGCAGGGCCGTGGCCTCGATCGTCACCGACAGCTGACTCACGTCCCTGATCCTCGACCTCACGGTGTACTCCATAAGGGCCTTCATGGCCCAGGCCGTGTCCTGGGTCGAGGCCCAGCCGCCGTCTGTCAGTCTCTGAGAATTGAGCCACTTGACGATAGGCTCGACCTCGACTTCTTGTCTCGCGACGTGCACCAGCAGGGCGTACGCGGTCGTCTCGATGTTCTCCGAGTCGTACTTGTAGGGCAGTCGAGGCAGGAGGAACGGTTTCTGGTTCTCGATCTTGTATGGCGGCTGGGGTACGAGTTCCCGTCCCCAATACACAAGGCCACCCTCCTCGCGCCGATACTGCCTTAGGAGATTGAACGCCTGTTCGGCAGTCGAGGCCTTTGCTTGGAGGAGGGCGTACGCGACTATGGCTATCTCGTACGGACGGCCTTTCATTTCCAGCAGCTGGAGGTTCTGCTCGAGCCATCTGCGGGTCCACAAACGATGTATTATTATTATGACAATTTGCAATAACCGAGGCGACGGACATTAAAAACGAGTTTGAAACGTATTTGGCCAACGCTTAAAGAGCCCGTGGGGAGGGATCAGCTCGGTCTTCTATTGTTTTGTTTTTGTTTGTTTTTGTTATTTTATTAGACGAATGATGGTACATGTGGACGAGAGGCGAAAGTAATTAATTAATGCCCAGGCGATGACATTTGCCATTAAAAATTTGAGAATTAAGGTGAAGTGTACCTGACAGCGTTGGCTGCCGCGAGGGCAACCTTAGCCCCCAATCCATTGGAGAGGTCCTTGACAGTTTCCAGGGTGATGAGAACGTGGGCGGTGAGGGATATGTTTCGATGCCTGTACAAGAAGTGCTCCTCGTCGTAGTTGAGTGAGCTGTTCATCTTGCGGTCGGGTAGCCAGGTGACCTCGTAGAAGGAGCCTTCGGGCGTCTGGTGGTCCAGGAGCCAGGATACCGCTTGAGCTATGACTTTGGGATCGATGTAGAGGTAGTTCTCCCACTCGTAAAAGCTCGCCTCCTCGAAGATGCGCACGCAGTAGGCGGTGAGCCAGATGCTGGGAGACGATTGATTCCAGTCGCTTCGGAATAATGAGAAGGAGCCGTCGGGATTCATGAAGGAGAGCTGCCGCTGGTAGCCGATATTCATATAGTAAAAGCTCTCCTTCTCCTGGCTAATGTTGCGCTGGTTAATGAGGCGCATGTGCAGGGTCGTGTACATGTTGGCGGCAAAGCTGAACATCGTCTGCTCGCCGCAGTCCATCGGTAGGGCTATGAGGCTCGTCGCGTTCACCGGCATCGTCGGGAAGATCGGGCCCACCACGTCGCCCACAATGCTATTACCATAAACGAGATATTTGCACTCGGGATAGTTTTTATAATAATTGGATTGCGTGTGCGCGGCGTGAGTCGCTCAGTTTCCCTATTGAGAATGCCACGCGGCGCGTGACATTATTAGAGGCTTAAAGATCGAGCCGGGCTATTGAGAAAAGCATTTGGCGCTCCGAATCTATAGTCAATTGCCATCTTATTTACCAAAATAAAACAAAATAAAACAAACAAAAAAAACAAAATAAAACAAACAAATAAACAAACAAACAAACAAAAAAAAAAACAAAAATAAAACAAAATAAAACAAACAAACAAATAAACATACAAACAAACAAACAAATAAACATACAAACAAACAAACAAAAAAAACAAAAAAAAAAACAAAAAAAAACGCTGATTTTAGATAGATTAATAAGGGAATGAGGGCCATTAGCTCTTTTACATACATAGTAAGTACATTTATTGCGACGAGGAAAAACCAACCACTCACCACGACACCACGATACGCGACACGAGTGTATAAGAAAGTCAGATCGAGCGTCACGCATACCTGATGGTAGCTTTATTAGATCCAAATATGTAATAGCGATCTTCCTCGTACGGTATCAATGGCGTCTCAGTAATATTAACGTGCATGTATTGGAAGACGTAGGCGCGATTGCTGAGATCGAGGAGAATCGATTGATGCCTGTACTGCGGCAAGCCGTCGGCCTCGACGTGCAGCGTCTTCGAGGCCGAATCCCTTCCGATTAACGTCGTTGCGAAAATGTGCACCTTGATGTCGCCCAATCGTACCGGAACAATCGGGATGTAGACGATCGAGGCGTCCTGGGCCGGTATCCATAGAAAGAATTGATGCTCGCCAAAGGACGTTCGCGGCCTGTACGACTGCACTATACCGTTATCCTCCACGTGCACGAACTTGTAATCCTTCGAACCTGTGGAAGAGTTATGAGCAATTAATGGGGCTCAAACGGCGATACAATTATTCTCCATTACTTTAACGTAATGAGCGGCTATCCCATGATTTTCATCGTCATAGCGTAATAATACTTGTCGAATTTTTCAAAGCAGACTCGCGAATTCGATTTCCTTTATTCGGATGTGGGTGGCCAACTACGTCACATCGACTCGGTCACTTTTAATTCGCGATCGCTTATCTTATCATTAATCGTCATTAATCGTTAATAGCCCCATCTCTTTTCATTAAATTAAATCCAAAGTATAAATTATAAATACATTGATAAATACATAATCTTTGGCACTTTTCACACACTCTTACAACACATGCAAACATGATAAGCCGGAGCTAATTATAGATTCCCGAGTTAATTATAAATATTTGAGTCGCACGAGCTAGCAAACTTTGTGAACTTTAATTCGACAGGCAACTGCGATAGCGCCCATTAAAGTTCCCTTAAAGATGAAATTTAGCCAAATCCTCGTGTACATTTTCCATTTATCATTAACGAAAAGAAGAAAAAAAAGAAGAAAAAAAAGAAGAAGAAAAAAAATAGGAAATTGAAGAAAGAAAAAACAATGCAAAGCGCAAAAGGGAGAAATGAAGCGAGGGGAGGAAATTGCTTTAAAGCGTAAGGGTATCCGGGGCCAGGTATCTCGAGTTAAGGGCCCCGGGGACTCACCGCTAAGGACGACAGTGGCCTCGATGTTGTAGCGCATGTAGTTGAAAATTGATACGCGTATGCCGATCTGCTCGCCTTGCTTGCAATGCGTCGGCATCTCGACGTTGATGTAGAAGGGCAGGACGGCGATGTACTCGAGGGCCGAGGGTAGCATGCCGAATCCATTGGTCGGGCTCATGCCGAAGGCCGTCACCATCCAGTGTACCGGCGTCTTTGGCACGTCGATGTTGAAGATAAAGCGGCCATGGGGACCGATATTAACGTCCCTCCATAGCCACACGTTCTCGTATTGGCGCTCGATGCGGTTGAAGCGCCATTTTCGGAAGTACGCGATGTCCGTGGCGTTGCCCTGTGGGATTGTCCTTGCGCATTAAGAGGGGACTCGACGGGCCCCAATCGTCAACAGTGGTTTATGGGGCACGGGGTCATTGTGGCCATCGATCCTCTTCTAACGAGAGACTCGATCTTTTTAAGCCGCAGCTTGGGGATTTTTCATTTTCACTATTCGTCAGGCGTCCTGCATTACAAAATTGTGCACACGTAGGAGGCACTTTGGGGGTAATCGCTCTCGTTGTGATATAGAAATGATCGCGTAATCGAAGTCGTATTTGTATGATTTTTACGATTGCCATTAATGAAACAAGAATTAGAAATTTAGTTTTCATAAATTCGCAAATGGCCTTGGTAGAAAAAAAAAACCGCTCGCGCGTCACGTTTTGAGATCACGAGCAACGAATGTAACGCGAATCATTATTATTGGTAAATAAGCTCACCATGATACTCCCAACGAGCATTTTCAGAATGAAAATCAAAATGTTTTTTATTTCTGTCCCTTAAAAGTAAGGATTAATATATTAATTCCGAATAATACTGATTATAAAATAGACAATTTATTTTCCGATTAATATTCCGAATGATATTTACAAAGTATGATATCACCACCACCACCACCACCACCACCACCACCACCACTAGTAGTAGTAGTAGTAGTAGTAGTAGTAGTAGTAGTAGTAGTAGTAGTAGTAGTAGTAGTAGTAGTAGTAGTAGTAGTAGTAGTAGTAGTAGTAGTAGTAGTAGTAGTAGTAGTAGTAGTAGTAGTAGTAGTAGTAGTAGTAGTAGTAGTAGTAGTAGTAGTAGTAGCAGCAGCAACAACAATCCATCGTTTTTGTGAAAAAAAAAGTTAATAACCGTGATTTTTAAGAAAAACATGAAAAAAAAAATGTCGTGCCTTTACTGTAGTGTTATCCAATGTTTAATTGATGGAGAATTATTTAATGTATTTTTTGGCTAATGGGATTCGTTTAAAAATTAACGCTGCATTTCGGTACTAATTTTAACGACTTAAAATATTAGACGAAGGTATTGGCTAACAAAATAAAAATGAAAATACATTTCTTCGTAAGATATAAGAATATTGATAGTCTTAACGAAAATGGCCAATAAATAAATATAAACAATTTTGAGAAATACACACCTAGTGGATCGGTATATCCGATAATAATACTTTGTAAGTATATGTACACACACACACACACACACACACAAAAAGACAAAGAGACTCTGACTATAAAGTTAAATCTATAAATGCATGATAAGGCTCGACTAATCGAAATGCAATAATGTCGAATGAAATTATATTAAAATAATTAAACAATACAAGCTCATATAAAATATCTTTGGTGTTAATTTTAAAAAATTAATCGAATTTAAAATTTACAAAACCCTGAATTATTGCACAAGTATTATAGTTTTATCATCTAAAATTCCAACACGATTTGAATGATTAATGTTGTTACGGGGCGGATTTTGACAATTAATATTCCGTGCAAATAATGTTCGACTAAATGATTCGCCTTGTCTTCGCCTATCATCAGCCCTGTAATTCAAATACTTAGAAATAATTTTTCTTTTATTATGGTTATTATTGTTATTATTATTGCTATTATTATCATTATTATATTGTTTATCAATCGCAGGTTATTGCTCCCTTCGATCTCCTATACCAAATACGAATATTGATGAAATACGATTCACGCAATCAGAATGTCAATCATTGCAACAAGAAATAGCGGCGCAGTAGGATAAGATTAGAATAATGGGCGCACTGGACCACTGGACTGCCGACCACTGGAAAGCTAATCGAGTGTGTGCGCGTGTGCGCGTGTGCGCGCGTATGTGAGATCGCGAACGTACCCGTGGACAGTGAGCCTCGTCGGTGCCATCCTCGCACTGCAAGATGCCGTCGCAGTGCTGATCCGCCTTGTAGCACCTGCCGCTGAGGCACTCGAGGTAGCCTTGAGTGTAGTTGCAATGCTCGGGTCTGCGGTGAATGATCGCGTCCGTGAAGACGACGAGGCCAACGTACTCGAAGGTGCGATTGACGTCGATACCGTAGGTCGAGGCCGGGAAGTAGACAACCGCGTCTGGGTCGCCCGCGTGGAAGAGCCACGTGTGAGAGTGGGTGCCATTGGTCTCCTCCCCGAAGTGCGACATCTTCTCGATGACGTTGGCGTACGTGAGCTCGTTGCCGGCCTGCATCGCGTAGAACGATCGATCGATACCCGACAGGGCCACGTAAGCGCCAGGCTCGCCGTAGATCGCCACCTGTGGACAATTCGCCAGTTGTCCCGTCCTTTAGTCGGAATTTGGAATTGAGATTTATTGTGTATTATTTGTGCGAAGCGATAGATTATCCATAGCTCGACAGGCAGGAGAAGCGAACAATCCTTTTCGAAAATTCGGCTTTTTGCATCAAATCGTTGGTCACCGATGCAAAAGTGCAACAGTAAAGCCTCGACTTTACCAAATGATCTAGTCGTAGCTTAAAACTACACAACGATTGCCTTTATTTATTGAATTTAACAAGAACGACTAGCCCGTTCGGTCGGTAAAAGTTAGTTACTTTCTCGAGCCTCATATTAAGCTTATTGATACTCGAATTTCTAATATTTCTAATATGCCGTTTACAAAAATTTTCATTATTATTTAATAATTGTCATTATCATTCGTTATTGTTATATATGTATATTTAAGAAAAAAAAGATGAGAATAAATGAGGTGGGTGACGTACCTCGACATTCTCGCCGGTACGGGCCTTCTTATTGTTGATGAAGACGGTGAAATTGTTGCGCGATATGCCGTTTACGGGGAAGGTGAGCGAGTCGGCTACGACGTCGCCGTACTTCCCCACGTAGTAGACGACGACCGTGGCGACTGGCGCCATCTCCGGGCTGAGAGGCACCGCGAACGTCTTGACGGTCTGTTGCATACGCTCGTCGCTCGTCAGCAATATCGTGCCCTTGGACATTACGAGGTAGTTGAAGCTCTCCATGTAGAAGTTGCTCTGCACGTGAAGGACGAGGTACTCGCCGACCTTCGCCTTCTCCGTCGACGTCCACACCTTGATGTGCTTCTGGTTGGGCGACTCGTGGGCGAGCATCAGGAGCTCAGCGTGTGCGTGGTGACCCTCGCCGTCGGTGAAGTCCGCGTAGAAGCGCATACTCGCGATGTCGTTCAGCAGTTGCTGGGCTCGCTGTGGATTGTCCATCAGGCCCAGCTGCTTTCTCAGGTCGATCTGCGCGAGGAAGGCAGTCTCGAGTTTTAGGCCGAGTTTAGACGCAAGTTGTATGGCTCCGAGGATAATTAGCCGATGATGTGGGGATTATCGGTTATTGTCGTCCGTAAGCTTTTGTTATTAAGATATGTCGAAACGTTGCCAGTCGCGGATAATGTAAAGAAATGGCGATTAATGAAAGCCGTTCAGGAATGTGTGAGAATGGAAAACGTGCGAGAAAGCGAATGATGAGAGGAGCTTCTCGTCCCTTAGCAGAGCGTTAAACATCTTCGTCGAGTCGTCGAAAAATTTTCGAAAAAAAGGAGGATGGCTGCACGAGGGGAGTTCTCACCGTACGACGACATTGGAAAAGTCAATATTCGCTCGGGATTAATTTGAAAATTTCAAAGGAGGCTCACCCGCATCGACCAGACTGCATCGTTCTCCGGCGAAACCCTGAGAATCTGATTTTCCAGTGTTCTACGTCCGCTGCTCCTCATCTCGATGTCGCCGCGCACCTCGAGCTGTGCTCCGCGAAGCTGCGACGGCCTAAGAGGCGAGCCATCGTGGAAGGAAGCCACCAGGTTTAGGTCAAAGGGCATGCCGGGCTTGAAGATCTGAGGCGAGCCGCCGAAGAAGTGAATTTTCACGCTCGAATTGTAAATACGAGCGGTGGAGTAGCCGACAATGATTTCCTCGAGGAAGCGCTCGCCGACGGTGGCTGTAACCGTCACCTCCATACCATCGCTGTTGCTGGGCAAATACTGCAGCAGATCACCCATTGGATACTGAAATCTAGCCACGGGATATTGCCATTGTTAATCGCAGTCCAAATAGTTTTCTCTTTAAATCGTTTCGCTCTCGTACAACATGAATTTCTTCAGCATTATTTGCATTAAAAGAAAAATTTTAAACAGTATAATTGCAAATGATAATTAACCGGTCGTGGCATATTCACTATTTGTCGATTTTCATTAACAATCATTTTACAATTAGTTAGATTAATTACAGTCAACATAAATATATAATACAATATATTCTTATCACTATCTAATACTACATATTGTATTTAATAGTGATACATAACAACGACGACGACGACGACGACGACGACTACTACTATCCCTACTACCACTAATACTAGAATAATATTAATACATCAGTACTATTATTATTATTATTGTTGTTGTTGTTGTTGTTGTTGTTGTTGTTGTTGTTGTTGTTGTTTTTGTTGTTGTTGTCGTTGTTGTTATTCTTATTTTTCTTGTTGTTGTCGTTGTTGTGTAATAAATTGAATGTGTCAATTATTGAAATGTAGTGATAATTTCGTTAAGGAATGTAAGGGCATTTACTATACCGAAGTACATTGATAATCGATTTATTGAGAGAGATTCGATTAGGGGATAAGATTGAAGAAAAAAAAAAATGCTTAATGCCATTAGGTGCGCGTGTCAAGTTCAGTGAGCAGATAGGCGTGAGTATGCGAGACGGAGTACTTGATAAGCTAAAGTACCCGTATAATCGATTGCTCGACCCAGCACTCGTGGTCCTAACGAACCATGCCATTGGCTTAGCCAAATTAGGAGGTGAAACCAACCTGTACGTGCCATTGAAGAACCTTAGCACGGGCACCGTCTCCCGGAATAGATCGGGCGGATGAAACCAGGCCGGGTAGTACTCGTTAAAGTTGAAATAGCGGTCGGCTATGTTGTCGTTGCCCTCGAGCGAGGGCGAATGATGCTTGTCGATCGGCCGGAAGCTCGCCTTGAGGGTGAGGTTGCCGTGTACGGGTGCGCCGGACGTGTAGTTCGCCTGGACGATGCCGTGTATGTAGGGCTCGTTGTCGAAGAAAAACGCGGGCATTGTGACGTTGACCTCGAAGCGCGTCTGGTAGTACTCCTCGACGAAGATCGCCTTCTCCTCGACCTGGCCCTGGGCGACCACCTTGATTATCCACTCGCCGAAGACCGGCTGGTCCGACAGCTGATAGGAGAGCGAGACGGTGCCGAGGTTACTCTGGCGACTGAGCCAACGACGCATTATGCGACGGTACGGGTCCAGCATGTGCACCTCCACCGTATCGTCGAACGCCTTGAGCTCCGTGTTGATGGGTATCGTGCGGAACCTGTATTCACGCGGGGATTCCAATAATTAATTTTCTCCTCTCTTCCCATTACGAGAGCGCGCCCTATAGTCCACCCTGGATAAACGTCTCCACGCATTCCCTCCCTCTCCACAATCCCGATAACCGAATACGAATACTCTAAAAAGAATCTCGTTAAGAATTGAAAATTCATAGAGAAAATTCTTAAGGTTATAGTTCTTAAGTTTATCGTATCACGAATTGCCTTTTGTTTCTCATATTCCAAGTCATCGAAAGATTTTATTAATTAGCGTAATGTAAATCCGAACGAGATGTCAGAGTTGTTGGACACGAGTGTCGAGTACTCGTGATTATCGCGCGTCGCTAACTCAACAATGCATTAAAGAAAGGCTTTCGCTAATTTTGTTCACGCCGGTAGAGTCGATCGCTTACGTACCGAATGGTCTGGCCCTGCATGTATACGGGCTTGTCGCACTGTATGAAAATCGTCATCGAGCGCTGGCTGAAGGTGAGTTGGGTCTCGTTTACGAAGACCTGGCCTCCGGTGAGACTGTTGTAGTTGCCCTCGACACGTAGTCGGTAATCACCCTTGACGGAGGTCGGCGGCATGCGCATCATAAGCTTCTCGGTGACGCCCTCGCGCAGCTCCTGGAAGTCAGCCGCGATTTCAACGCCGTTCCGTTGGATCGAGGCATGAACCATCATGGGCAGCGGGCTGTGAAGAATGTTCACAGCGACGCGGTACACCTGCCCGGGACGCACCATCCTCGAAGCCACGATGAAGTACGAACTGTGGCAGAGGCATACCGTGATTTATGTCTCTCTCGTCTCGTCGACACCAAGCTGCGATCGCTTGGCATTTATAGACATTTAAGCGCTTGGACATTCTTTGCTTTTACTATTGCAGCGTCATGCTCCAATTATCGTTAAGATTCAAGCTCAATGTGTCCAATTTTCTCTCTCTCTCTCTCTCTCTCTCTCTCTCTCTCTATATATATATATATATATATATATATAAATTTATTTATTTCATTATTTTATTAATTTATTAATTTATTTAATCGACATTGGCTGAAGCTTTAGAGCTATTTAAGAGCTTTTTCTCTCGCTTTATTAGTGGACTTTGTTCGAAGCATCGGCCATAAAATTGCATTAAGCTGATCGAGCAGCCCGTATAATGTAATATAAAACGAGCGCTTCTAGCGTTTAATTTAGGCGCTGTAGGATCTTTTGTACTTTCAACTTTGTGAAAAATTAGTGCCAATTGCCGAGTCTGGAATGAAGTCTTGATCAGCCGTTCTGTGCTAGCGCATTGCGACAAAACATTGCGAGGTACATTTTATCGATTGTGTATTCTTACGCGTTTAATATCGAAAAAATATACGAGACACGTGAGATAATATCAAACCGCATTCTCATCAACTATAATCGCTAATATTCTTCGTAATTTAATCGTGTGCGCAACAAGTAAGAGCATAAGTTGTTTCATAAGGGATCACGAGAATGGAATAATATTTTCACACTGTCAATTAATTTACGGCACAAGTTGCTCTTTGCTCAATGAGCTTTCACGGTAACACGGCATGGTGTTTCATCGACATTGAACGACTTTTAACCCGTTTGAATTTAAAAATCCAATGTATCCTAATTATGTCGATCATACATTGCCCTCATAGGCGTATACTCGGTCACTTGACACATTCGTTTTATATTATTAAGTATAGTACAATGCCATATAAAAGACATATATTTATAGTAATTGAGTATTTCTCACGTTTTAAAGAAAGAAAAAGAAAATGATAAAGAAAGAAAGGAAAGAGTCAAGAGAACGCGACTATAAAAACATTGATTGAAAATCCGATGGGATATGGATTTTTCATGTTTTTTTTTTTTTTTTTGTTTTTGTGTATTGTTTTCAGTTGATGTTGGTAGGAATTTGTAAACAAACTTATGCAAGAATTATGCTTTTGGCATAATCCACGGACAGAGAAAGGAAAAAAATTGAAATTTCCCATTGGAATCTCGAGGAGGTATATCTCACGTATTTACAAGGGTAAGGCGCCGCGCGTTGCCACTACACGCGCCTCGGAAAATTATTGAAAAAGCTCGGCTCAAAGACCTCTACGGCATCGCAATATTAGTCGTGCAAAACCACAACGCTATCGGACATTAGCGACAAGCGCCAAATCCATCGAAGCCCCCGCGAATTAAGCGCCACGTACGCCTACGATCATGACATCCAGTCGCTAAAAAGCTCGGCCGGCGCGACCCGTCACTAAGCTAAGCTGCTGAAAGATGGCTGAAACATGCCGAGCCAATGGCCCGAGTCAAGGTGCTTACGCCTCTTTGATGATGACGTTATCATTCTGCAGATTAGTAGGTCGATATCCAAATCCGAGTCCGCTGTCACGGTCCCAGTCCCTAGTCGCCTCCCTATCCCGATCCCTGTTAACGAACTCCTGGTCTCGGTCTTCGTAGCGGTTCCACGGCTGCCGGGAAGTCTCGGTTGGCTCCGAGGGCTGTTGTCCTTGGCATTCCGACGTCACCAGCAGCAGGGCTGCAACGGCAAGGAGCGAGCACCACATCGTTCTGCAATGGGAATGCGAGTCAGCTTATTATCCCTTGTGCCAATAAGGTCCCGAGTCCCGGAATCGTCGGAGGCGTCATTAAAACGACGTTAAGCGTATTATCGCGAACATCGTTAGATTGGAGGGGCACGGTTACACGAACATTAATGCAACGAACGAGTGTGCTATTCCAGTTGGCTAATGGCCGCTCATCGAGAAGCGCCGCGAGCAAACGACGCGATTACTTTATTAGCGGCTTAGGCATTGTTGTTAAATTAATGTTCATGCTTTCTAAATAGGTTATTTGGTACGCTCGGAACGACCTGGAGTTTCGTGCTGCTCGTTAAATAAATCGCATATCATTATCAAGCTTTGAAGAACTTTTAACTCTGTTGCAGGTTTTGAAGGCAAATCATGTTAACTACTTCCCATAATATTGCACTTATCGCCTAATTATGTAGCATCGATTCGCAATGTCTAAAGGATTTCGCGCGTTGGTTTATTTCTTATGTAATGAAATAATCTTAGGGAGAAGATTTGCACGTAAAGACTTTTGCTTATTATTTTATTGAACGTCATCCGTTATATACATATGCATTGTTACATTAAGAATAAAATGTTTGTAAATGGCGTGAGACGCGATGTAGCCTCGCTTAATTATAATATGATCGTAAGTCTATTAAATAAAATTATCTGAAAATTTGTAAATTCATTGGAGTCATTTAAAAGCCAAACATTCGTGCGTTGGAAATTTTTATATTTTCAAACGATAGTATCGATAGGCTTTTTCGATCGGTAGACCTCTTCTATTTCTTATGCTTCATCGGCACCGAGCGCAAAATACGTCACGCAACATCACAACAAATTAAAACCGAGCGCGAACAATTATGTAAGTACAACTAAACGATCATTCGTCCCATTTAACTCGCACTAATTCCTAGACGCTCTTGACGAATTCACTCGACAAGATTATTATTACCCAACCATAACGTTGACTATGATCGACTCTCCTCCACCTTCGAAACGACAAAACTTCGATTTCATTCGCGTAACGAGCGCCCAATAAAATTCATCCATCATATTTTGCCTCGACAATTCGATACACGCACACGCATACGCGCACTAACCAAACCGCTAAGTCAAATAATAAAGCACAATCCTCGGTACATGGAAAATCCTTACCAGTCGGCTAACGAAGCTGTTGCTTTCGATCCTACAACTCCGAGCGTTTTATACACTTTGTGACTCACTCATACGACGTGCCTATACACGCGACCGAGTAAGACGCCAACCTCTTCTCTTATACTCTCGATATTACGAATAATTGTGCTTTATATTACATGCCGGACAATGCGATAGCGAAGCGCTCTCGCGCGCACATGTACAGTCTCGAATAATAACTTCGCCTCGCCCTCACCATCAATCTACCCAACATACGCGCTCCATTCCTCGAAAAATTATTAAATCTTTCGACCAATGTGTAAATAATCGACACGATGCTACGCGCCTCGACGCCAAACATCCATCCTTCTCGCTTTTCTTCGCCGAGGCTGGCCCTTGCGAGACCACGCTATTCATCCCATTGCCGCAGCTCCGAATCCACGAGACTCCGCGAACGCTCCTCGCGCAAGCCTGGCCATTGTGTTTTATTACCAACGAGCCAACGTCCCTGATTTTGTCAAACTCACCCCTCACTCGGTCAGCCAGCGGCACACCGATCGACGCTGGTCCACCCATTAACTAATCAATCGCAATTATCCTACTCGGCCCTTTCATAACGCCCGCGATCGACGGATCACCTCAGCCCACCCATGCACCTCGAGATGTGTCTCTCACGTCTCGTCTCTCTCTCTCTCTCTCTCTCTATCTCTCTCTCTCTCTCTATCTCTCGTTCTTCTGCACTCTACTAGACGCGGGACTACCAGCTCAGGCTCAACGTACGCGACACTTTCACGCCCACGCCTGATCAAAAGCCTGGCCATGGCTATGCCAGCCAGCCCAATCGGCTCGTCTCTTTAAACGAAAAACTTTAAATGACGAGGTACGGTCGCGTTTGAATATATTCGTTCCCCGATGCATCGTAATTAACGGGAGCTGGTGGCACGTAACGGCCGGAGGAGCGCACTCCACCGAGCGATCCACGCCACGGTAAGACACGCGACAGGTGAACGGGTCCCACGAGAGCGCGATCGTCGGCGGCTCGATCACCCAGAAGACGAGAGCCAACCAACGCCCTCGCCACTCCCTCGACTGCGTCTCGGTACCGTTGAGCAACCTTGGTGGTGACCCGGAGCCGCGGTCGGCGGCGTCCGACGGACGTCCCGACGCCTCGTGGCGCGGTCGACGCCCAAAAATACCTGAGTTACGCGGGCGCGCGCGCGCGCCTCATACCTGGCGTGTCGACGAGCTGCGCCTGCGTCGGCGTCCTCACACTGGTCTCTCAGCGTGAGCACATAGCAGCGGTTACAACGGCTCACGGTCACGGGGCTCCTCAACGGCCCCGGGGCTCACTCGACTCCTGGGCCTTGGCTCCGGGTTCTCGTCGAGGGGCGGGGCTGCGGCACGACTACCTCGTCCGTGTACGACGTTCGGCGCCTCGCCGCGGAGCTATACACAC